AAGAATTGAGGCAGTTCTGAAGGCAAAAGGGGGTCCAACCCGTTACTAGCATGGGGTACCTAATAAAGTGGCCGGTGAGTGTATATCACTTATTCCTGACTCTGTAAATTAAACAATAATTAAATATGTCAAAACCAAAACCAGTTTTCTCTGCCTGATAATACTTTTTTTGCATGACATATGTGGATAAAAAGCGCGTTAAAAGTCGCTTCATTTCTTCCTCCTGACGCGCTGAACGATGCGCGTTCGCGCTACCGGGAACGCGCATAGTGACATTACTCCTCCTCCCTGGATTAAAAAAAAAAAATTAAAAATGAAACAGAGTGTATTTTATTTTATGCCAGCTGTATGGGCTGCAGATGCCCAGCCAGTAAAGTGATGGGTCTGTGAGAAGCGCGGAGAACCGCGGAGAGGCGTGATCTTCCGCATTAATTCAAGCTGCAGTGGTGCAAGACCTCCACACTTCTAGTTCACTACAGGCTGCATGGTGAAATTCACATTTGTAACCGAGAGAAAAAGAGGAAATGAGTCTCTCATCGCTTGTTTCTTGTTCTTCTCTGAGTTTAACATCTTAGCACCGCTGGAGGGTAACGCTTAAAGGTAAGTTTAGTTTTTAAACTATAATATGTTGTTTTTTTTATTATTAATTACCTCCTAAGGTTCCTACAGTCGATTCAGTGATGAATGAGGTGATTCAGACTCATGTCTTCTAAAACATATTACTTTTTTTCTATATTGTTTTATTTTTAACTCTTTAAGAGATGTCTAACTTTTAAACTTTATTTTCTTTTACTTTTATTTTTTATTTTTTTGGCCCATTAATCACTTTTTAAGACTGTCTGTAATGAGCCTGAGAGGAGAAGCCGAGAATAACCTCACATCATCACAACTGAGGAAGTAAATCATTGGTTTCCTTCCTAGAAAACCTTAAAAAGAACCTCTGAAGTTATGTTGGGAGTTTTCTATTAATGAAGTCTACTAAGAATAGCCTCACCGTGTCATGGTATCCTATGACATATACTATAATAAGCTATAGCAGAGGTATAGGAATAAAACTTGGGCAATTTATCTTAAATTTCCTTAGAAGGTTCCTCACAAAACTTGGTGTTGAAATAGAACTGATAGTTGAAGAATAACAAATATTAGTTGAAATTAGGGAAATGATGCAGGATATAAAGACTAATCAATCTGAAGCTAAAACTGATGCATCCACTGCTGATGTCAACCAGTGCTTTAAAGACAGTCTTTCCCAACCTTTTTTGACCTGTGCTCAACTTTGAGCATTTTGTCTTCCCATTAGTTCCCCTATAAGTTAAAATATTGATGATTGTCTAAAAGTAGGACGTACAATAACTGATAATAAAATCAAATATATTATACTTAATCTTTTAATTTGAGCATTATATTATCTAAAAAAACACAACATAACATTTTTTCCCTGGAAGTTAGTAAGGAATGAAAATAAATACAAAATAAAATCATATTATAAACCTGTATTTATAAACCTGAAGCTCCTCTGAGTGACTGACTCCCCTATAATCACATTTAAACTTGATGAATTGGTAACAAAATACAGGAGAAAAATTATAGTTAGTCTGACTTCCATCCATCCATTTTCTGTCACGCTTAATCCCAGTTGGGGTGGCGAGGGCTCTCAATGGGCGAGAGGCGGGGTCCACCCTGGACAGGTCGCCAGTTCATCGCAGGGCAACACAGAGACACACCGGACAAACAACCGTTCACTCACACACCTAAGAACACACCTAAGAAACAATTTTAGAGAAGCCAATTAAACTAACAGTCATGTTTCTGGACTGTGGGAGGAAGCTGGAGTACCCAGAGAGAACCCACACATGCTCAGGAAGAACATGCAAACTCAATGCAGGAATTTGAACCCAAAACCTTCTTGCTGCAAGGCAGCAGTGCTACCCACTGACTGACTTAATCAGTTTTACTTTGTTTTCATCATTTATGACATTTGAGCTCATTTGATGAGCTCCGAAAGCTCAGTGTGAAAAAAACAGCTGATCCCGTTTTCATCCAGCCTGTTCCTCTGCTTGGTTTGGATGTGTCAAAGCTGAAGGTAAACTCAAACATATAAGAAAAACTTTTTAGTTGATAAAAGCTTGTTTAATTTTTCAATTGGGTGCTCAGACAGTAAAATAAATCCCAGCCCTGTTTAATTTTAATTTAATATTTTAATGTACCCCTTGTAATGCACTCGCGGACTACTAGGGTTACGCATACCCCTAGTAGAAAAATAAATAATAACTCCTAGTAGAGTTATAAATATAAAATCTTTATATTTGCTGCAGATTTTTATGGAATTTTCATTATATAGCTGAGTAAAGTAAAAGACCTACTTATGTAGGAATAACTAAATGGTAAGCTTTCCTCCAGCTGATTTTTGTGGGTTTTTAAGGAACTCACCCAAATGGTCTGCAAAATTAGGTCCCGTCCACACGAAGCCAACCCCTGGCCTAAACGCACAAGTTTTTCCCCAACCCAGCCTCTCATCCATATGAAGCCGGCGTT